AAGTCAGCCAGCCGCTCTGCACTCTTCCTCCGTCTCCATGTGGTCACCAGTCCTGGATGCCTGATGAGAACTCCTAAGATCTACTCCTTTGGTAAGTTTCAAACACTCAATACAGTAGTATGAACTACAGTCACTGTGCTGCACACTGCATCCCCAGAAATTATTTTATACCTTTTGATCTCTTTCACCCATTTTGCCACCTGCCTCCCCCCCACCTCCAGCAGTCTGTTCTCTATATCTGTGAGCTATATTTTGTAAGATTTCACATATAAGTGAGATCATGCATGCAGTATTTGTCTTTCTCTGTCTGACTTACTTCACCTAACGTAACACCCTCCAAGTCTGTCCATGTTGCTGCAAATGACAGGACTTCCTTCTTTTTATAAAGCTGGGTAAATATTCCAGGGTGTGTGTGTGTGTGTGTGTACACACCACACGTTCTTTATTCATTCACCCACTGATGGCTGTGCATGTCTTTGTCATTCAGAAGACAGGAGGACAAGGTCACTCTGTGTGTGTGTACACACCATGTTTTCTTTATCCATTCACCCACTGATGGACACATATATCTTTGTTATTGAGATGATAGAGGACAAGGTCACTCGGTGTGTGTGTGTGTGTGTTTGTGTGTGTGTGCACGTACACAACACATTTTCTTTATCCATTCACCCACTGATGAACATGTATATCTTTGTTATTGAGAGGAAAGGAGGACAAGGTCACTCTGTGTTGTGTGTGTGTGTGTGTGTGTACCCAGCACACTTTCTTTACCCATTCACCCCCTCATGGATGCATATACTTTGTTACTGAGAGGACCGGAGGACAAGGTCACTGTACACCACTGGGCTGCAGAGATTCTCATGGGAAACACCTGTCCCTCTGCTGGACTCCTTTTAACGTCTCTAGTTCTCCAAGCCAACCAGCGAATCCCACCATGAAGAAGAGCACAGGAGTTTCCAGGGCTTTCATGGGAATTTCACTCCTGCCACCTACCCAACTTGTGGGTTTCCTGGACGTCCCTGCCTGCTGCCTTTCCAGCCTCTGCTTGAGAGTCTTTGAGTCAGCAAGTCAGTGCCTCCCACGGGAGTCACTTCGCCTGGAGACAGACAGTGCCTCCGAGCTAGCCCTCACCAAGCCCAGTAACTTCCAGCAGCATCGCTATAGGTGCATCGTCACCCACCCTTGGCCGTGCCCTACATGCCCCAACTTTTAACTCCTCTTTCCTCGAGCAGTCCCTATGACAGCTGAAGCCTGTTCTGCCCTTCTCCTCTCCAGGATCAGCACGGCCTGCATCCACAGCTGCCCCTCCCAGGGCAGGTGTGATCCCCTCCTGTCCTGACGCAGACGGCGACCTCCAGGGCTGCACGTGTTGTCCAACTACCTACACCATCCACAGGCACATCCGGGTCAGCCAGCAGGCACGTCGCAGCGCTGTCTCACAGGCTTGCGACCCCGTGGACTGTAGCCCGCCAGGCTCCTCCCAGGCTCCTCTTCCGTGGGATTTCCCAGGCGAGAAGACTGGGGTGGGTTGCCATTTCCTCCTGCAGGGGTTCTTTCTGACCTAGGGATCGAACCTGCGTCTCCTGCATTGCAGGTGGGTTCTTTACCACAGAGACACCACAGGATTTTCTCTGCTCTGCTATTCCTAACATATCTCCCGAAGCTTTTGTAATTTGCAAATTTCATGAGCAAACATGCTCTTATTTTTGAAGCAATCATTGATACATATTTATCAGGCTAAGCAGGGAATGAAAACAATACAGAAAGGTAAATGCTATTCTTTCATTTTCATATTATTGCAATAATACAGGCAATTTCCAGAGTGTAAGAAGCACTTGAAAGTGGAAGGCTCTGAAGTGAGCCAACTCTGGGATATGGCTTGCTTCTGCTCACCCTGCTGGATGAAGGAAAGGCATAAGGACTGGAGATAAATACTCTTCAGATTAAGTCACTGGGGAAAGTCTCTAAAGGACAAATGGAGGAAAATCTACCCTGCCCTATCTTAACATTTAAATTTTTAAAGCTTTTCAATTCATCCTTGTCATGAGAATATGATAACTGGGTGGACCTAAAACTATGTCCAAAACATTGCCTTGCATCAAAGGATACAAGCAGAGTTAAGAAGGCAGCCTATGGAATAAAAGAAAATATCTGCAAATCATATTATCTGATAAAGGATTATACGCAGAAAATATAAAGAACTCCTAGAAGTTAACAACAACAAAAACTGGTTAAAAATGGACAAAGGACTTAATTTCTGCAAAGAAGGTATACAAATGACCGATAAGCATGTAAAAAGATGCTCCATATCAATAATCATCAGGAAACAGAATCAAAACCACAATGAGACACCACCTCAAACCCATTAGGATGGCTATTATCAAAACAAAACAGAACAGAAAATAAATGTTGGCAAAGATGTAGAGAAATTGGAACCCTTGTGCATTGCAGCTGGGAATGTAAAATGGAATGGCTGCTATGGAAAATAGTATGGTGGTTCCTTAAAAATTTAAAAATAGCATTGCCACATGATCCAGCAATTTCACTTCCAGATGTATACCCAAAAGAACTGAAGGAGGGTCTCAAAGCGACATGTGTACTCCCATTAGTCACAAGAGCCAAAACATGGAAGCACACCAAGTATCCATTACCAGATGAGTGGATAAATAAAATGTAATATATCCATACATCTGATTATTACTCATCCTTAAAAAGGAAGAACACTGTGACACATGTTCCAACTCGAATGGACCTTGATAACATTATGTGAAGTGAATTAAGCTGGTCACAAAGGATATACACTTATACAAGGCACACAGGAGGCAAATTCACATAGACAGCAGAACGGTGGCGGCCAGGGGCTGGGGGAGCCGTTTAACCAGCACGGAGTTTCAGTTTGGGAAGAGGAAAGTTCTGGAGATTGGCTGGGCAACAATGTGAATGTACGTAACACTACTGACTGTACCTTAAAAATGGTTAAGACAGTAAATTTTATGTTGTGTACATTCTACCACCATTAAAAAAATTGAAGCCATTATCAAATTTGTTCCAAGGTCACCTTTATGCCTGACTCTTACTAGAATATCGGGCACAAATAACATTTAAAGTGGAATTTTCTCAAAGTCCTAGCCCAAGAACGCAAAGTCCTATAGAGGAAAACAGTTTCCTAAAAACAACAGGATGCTTCCCAGGAAAGGTCTCTAAGCCAAAATATTTTAGAGGAATGAGGATATGTCTCCTACATAATACTACATAATGTAGGAATACTGATAAATTAACATAGCACACAAAGATCTGTATTATCTTGTACCAACTAACAGCTTTTGAAAACACAGGGAGATTTCAATCTCCCTGAGGCTTCAAATCATGGGAAGGAGAAGCGCGCCATGGCTGGCTGTCACCTGTAGGTGGCAGTAAAGGCACAGTGTTCATGTCAAAGCAGCCTTCAAGGTCAACCAGTACGGGACAGCAGAAAACACAGGCAATTCAAGTTCTACTATATTAAACAAACTGCATCAACTTCTCTGATACACTGTGAGTGTTGATCTTGCGAAAACACATTCGCCCTGGGGCCTTTCCTCAACCAACTCTATCTCTTGTCTCATTTTTCTTGCTTGATATGTCTTTGTAATCATATCTATTTAGATATATTATACATTCATTTTGGAGGGACATGGTAGTTTTCTTTCTTACAGAAAAAGAAACACACGCACGCTAGTGAAGTCAGAAAGCCTATTTATTGAGGTCTATTGTGTGCTAAGCACGGTGCTAGGTGCTCTGAGACATGTGAAGACAGATGGATCAGGTCCTTGTCAACAAGAGAGACCCAAAATGTGAATAATAGGGATGAGCGTCCAATCAAGGGGTGAAATAACAACACACTGGTGAAAGAGAGAGATCCACAGACACCTCCAACTCCCACCTCTAAAAACAGGCTCCCACAACCCACAAACCTTTTGGTGAGTTTTACTGCCTATGTGTGAATCCTTAAACGTTTTATTTCAGTTTGGCCTACTTTCTGAAATTCATACAGATAGACTCGTACAGTATGAATTCCTTTGTGTCTGGCTTTTCTCGCTTCACACCATATACACTACATTTGTCCATGCTGTTACATGCACCTCCTGTATGATCCATTTTGATTGTAAAAAGCAGAAAACTGTTTACACAACTGATTTATCAACTCTACAGTTGCTGAACATGTAGGCTGTTCCTAATTTGGAGCAATTAGAAATAACGCTCCTATGAACATTGTTATCTATCATCTCCTGGTACACAGGAACATGCATTTCTACCAAGGAGTGGAATCTGAGTCACAGGTGTATCTATCTTCATCTTAGCACTTAATATCCAGCTGTCTGCCAAATTTAAGCTCCCATCGGCCATGCACAAGAGTTCCGGGTTGCTCTATACCCTCACCAACACTTCTTATTAGTCTTATTCACTGTGGCCACTTTGGTGTGTGGGTAGTAACATCCTTATGACAGTTTCAATTTTTACTTCCCTGAATACTTATGAGGTTGGGCGTACTCACACATGTTTACTGACCATTTGGATACACCCTTTCTTGAATGCTTCAAAGTCTTTGGCTCATGGAATGGCAGCAATCTCCCTTGCAAAATTAAATTTACAGGCTGACAGAATCCAGCTACAAAACTTTTCCTGGGGAATATCAAATCACTGGTGAGAAACAGGGATAGGACAGGAAGTTCTATTTCCTCAGATTTTTTTTGCTACAGATTGAATGACTACTTTGACTATTCTCTACTAAGTAAGACCAACCTCAGCAAAACTTACTGAAAGAAAGTACACCACCATAACAGAGAAAGAGCACAACACAATCTCACAATCTGAGAATCTTGAGTAAATATCCCTGGGTTACACCATCGAAACTACTATTGTGTCCTCAACATACTCTGCTATTGGCATGATGATTAAATTCTATGACCCATGTAAAGCACTTAGACCTCTGCCTGATGACTCTTTACCCCTGATAATACAGATAAGAGTAAAGACAGAGATAATTTTTTTTAAAAAATCCTAAGTAACTCTTTTAAAACCAATAACCTTCAACCTATAAACACGCAGTACTTTTCAGAATACGATACTAAAAGCTTCCATCACACACACTAGTACACAATGTTGGATTTAAGTAACTCAGTAACACACCCCTTATTTCTTTACCAGTCTTGACTCTCCACACTACCTTTTTCTTCTAAACTGCTGTTTCACCATACTACTAGACATTTTCCCCTAGAAATTCATCTCTCTCTACACATACTATCTCCTTGAACTGTGAGACCAGAATCTGTAGGGGGCAGCCCAGTACATCACAATAACCAGAGTTCTACTCAACTAGTTGTGCCCTGGGGACCCCGAATGACTCTCCAGGCAGTGAGTGAAACGTCACCCCACAAACTCTTGACCTGGGATTTTAGGGAATATAGGAGTGCTTTCACTGCCATATAGAAGCCTTCTCCTAAGATCCTCTAAGTGAAAGAATCTTTAATATCTTTAGGCAACTCTACTTTGTCAGTTTAGATCTAACTAGAATTATCTATCACTTTGGTTATCTGGATTCAACTTCTTTGCTGTGAGGTAAGTAAACCATCTGATTGTCTATGTGTCTGTAAAATTGTGAAGCTGGACAAAAATTGCTGGGGAAAAGGAATCTGGGAAATGCTGAATTTACAATACTGTTTAGAAAATCAAGTTTTCTACAGGAGGTTGAAAGGAGATTGACAACCAGTTTGGCTATAAGACTAGAGCTGTTAAGTTGTTGGAGTTACAATAACATAGATGTAGACAAACATTATCTCAGCCTTCTTCATCCAGAAACCACTATGCAACACACTTGGCCCTCTCCACACACACACAAAAGCAGTGAATTCAGAAGCAAGCTTGAAAAAGAAAAGGGGTAGGGCACAAAGATTCCTAACATCAAAGTGGGAGACCATCAGGGCAGGGTAAGATTCTCACTCTTGTCTGCCGCCCCACCTCTTCCTTGTGGGGACTGGCCGTCCACCCACTGCTCTGCCCTTGTCTGCTGAGGGCCCCCTTCGCTGGGCAAGATAAACAGTAACAGCAGGGCCCTCCTCACAACACTGGTCTGAGGAACCAGGATAAGCCTCATATCCACTGAGGAAAAGAGAAGTGTATTAAGAATGAGAAATACAGTTTTATCTGTGGCACAGACAAAATAAATCTCTTGATATAAGAGCATGCTTTTATAATGGGGATTAACTGTGTTAAGTCTATTAACTACACTCTTACCGATAATTGTAAAATTGGCTTAACTAAATTATATTCGCTCTAAAACTGGACTCGAGAGCTAAAATAAAAATTCATTTGGGGCTTTTAGTACCTAAACCAGAATTCAAAAATGGACCTGAAATGGATGATTCCATAAGGTGAAGGGAACTCTGTGAAATCCCTCTTTTGCAAGGTGAAAATTTTCTTTCACTCATATCCCAACATAAGTAAGGAAATTAAAGCTGCAAGAATGATCCCCAAATGAGACAAGTTCTTCCATTTGAATAAAAAATTCATGAGGTTCAAGTATTGAAGAAGCAAACTAGACATAAAAGTTTAATTCTTGATCCACTGTTTACTCACTTGCTGCCAAATGGTTTGGGGGAATTTTTTTTTTAACCGAAATTCTTTTCCAACATAGAATCACTGTGAGAAGCCTGGAAACAGAGAACAGTGCTAAGCGCTGCAGTGCTGGGGGTGGGGGTGGGGTGAGGCGGTGGTCTTGTCTCTGTTGTCCTTGCAATTGGCAGGTTCCCCTCACAACAGCAAGTCAGAATGTCCCTGATGCTGACACTGGGCTCAATATTTTATCCATGACTCCCTCAACCCTCAACCTCTTCACCTATGTTTTCAATCATACGTTCAACCAGTATTTACTAAATGGCAGCTAAACATACATACACAACACATGCAAACCCTCAAGGACTCAATTTAGAGGAGGATAAAAGGCAAGTAAAGACCCAATAATAACACAAATACATGCCGCTACAGGGATAAGAAGCCAGTGCTAAAGAACCTTACAGGCACGAATAACCAACCAGCTTCAGGGGTCAGAGAAGATTTCGTGGGAAAGGGAACATCTAACCTAAAACTTTTAGGATAAATAGCAGCCAGCCACATCAAGAGATGGGGGTGTGGTGGGAAGGAGTATCACAGGTTGGTTTAACAGCCTGTGAAAGGCCAGGAGTAGGGAGTTGCATTAGGCTAGGATGGAGAGAAAGACAGGGCCCACCCTCAAGCTGTGTCCCTTGGGGCCTCCCCCTGAGAGACTGTCAGTCAGAAAAAGGAATCTCCCTGCGCAGACAAGGGGCCTTTTCTTAATGAGATCTATGCCTTTCCATACCTACTGACGGCAGCAGCAGCAGAACACTAATCAGCAATGAATTTTAGAAGACCTGTTACAGGCTATATGAAAGCAGGGCAATGAAAAGATTGGATCTGCAGATAAGAGGTTCCTATCTCCAGGTAAAATATCAAACTCCTGCATATGAAATATAACTCTGTGTGTAAAAAACTGATTATAATGTAACTCAGCAATGAGCATATCACGTCTAGTGAATAGTATCAATATAATCACCTCACAGTGGAAAGTCTTTACAGCAGCCAGGGCAGAAAAGGGAGGGTACTGAACTTGGTACCAGAAGAGACTAGACCTGGGTGTCTGAGTTCTCAGCAAGTCACTGGCCCACACTGGGCCTTGAATATCCATCTACACAAGAAATTGTAGCTCGGGGTTGCTGCTTGTGCTTCTAAAACCCATTCACCTAGCATTATCACAATCAAAAGTATTTTAATCACCAAAGGAAAGGGTCTAAATAATTTGTAAGTCACAGATTTACTACAGTTTTGTTCAGAAGAAATAAAAGAGCATATGCCCACAAGCTGTCTTAAATAAAAAAAAAAAACAAAAAAAACTGTTAAGTTCACGTACCTTTTAAAAGCTGGCAAATCATGCATAACAAAGTATAAAGATAACTAAAATTTTAGGACAAGCAAATTAAATTATGATTTTTTTTTTAAAGAAGAAGAAAAAAAAGTTAATATAGCCAAGTAGGCAATGATTGGAGTTGCTCACTTCTCTTTTCTTTGCTTTCACTTCCCTTCTTAGGTTAAAATACTCCTAGTATGTAAATTATTCCACTCAAGACTCCCAGAGTCCTTTCTTTTATTTACTTTTTTTGGTTTATTTATTTTTATTGAAGGATAATTGCTTTACAATATTGCATTGGCTTCTACCAAAATCAGCATGAATCAGATATAGGTTTACCCATGTCCCCTCCCACTTGAACATCCCACCCCCCCGCCATCCCACCCCTCTAGGTTGTTATCAAGCCCCATTTTGAGTTCCCTGAGTCATACTTTCCATTGGCTATCTATTTTACATATGTTAATGTATGTTTCTGTGTTACTTTCTCCATAACTCCCACCCTCTCCTTCTCCCCAACCCCCTAGTCGTGTCCATAAGTCTATTCTCCATGTCTGTGTCTCCATTGCTGCTTCCCAGAGTCCTTTCTTAGCAATTCATAGGGATGTTTTTGCCAAAGAAATTACTTCTAGTCTTCCATGTGACAGACAAGGGATATAAAACACTGGGGACTTAAAAAATAAAGCAAATCAAAGTAGGGAAAAGTATGTGAAAAGCTGAACCAAGTAACTGAGGGTGTCCAAATTTCTACCATTTAGAAATATTTTAGTAGTAAAAAGTAGATATTTGATGATTTTAGGAACTTGAAGTAAAGGGTTCCCACTAAGTGCCAGATTAGCACTTGGACTTTCCTGGTTTAGAGTCCTCACAATCCTACCAGATGGGTTTTACCTCTATTTTAGCTCTACAGAAACTAAGGAACAGAGGTTCATGGTGTTTAAGTAACTAAATAAAGTCACACAGCTTAGAAAGTGAATAAATTATACTGTGAATTCTATTCTAGTCAATATCAAATCCCATTCTCCTTCAACAGATGATGCAGGCTTTAAGCACCAAAGTAAACAAAGTGAAGACATTTTTCTGTGATTTTCTTAAATACATGCCATGATTTCAAAGGGAGCTTATGCTAAGCATGACCTCATAAACAAATCATTTGTGAAAGAGAAAAACCACATCCAGGGCAAAGTCATAACTTGAAAAAGCCTTATTTCAGCGAGCACTTCCTGAAAGAGACAAAGCAGCAATTGCAGCTGAGCGAGCATCAAGTCCTATACCGAGTATTAGATCTGAAACAACTTTTTAAAGCAACGGAAGAGCCTAAAACAAAAGAAATATAGCGTTTCTTAAATACACAGTTTCTAGAAAGAGCTATTTTAACACAAGCAACTCAAAGATATTTCTGTTACAGAACTGTGTTTACCAAAACATGTTCTTCCCAAACACAGCCTTTTGATGGTCAAGAGGTAAGTAGCATTTAATCAGTTTTATCACAGATTGTCAGAAGTAATGTTGTACTTATTTGTTAAATCTCAAGATCTTTGCTTTATTTTAATAATATGTTGCTGAAATTATGTTGGTGAAGGACCTTCAAATGGGTTATACTGTCATCTTCCTATGTTATTAATATGATTTTCATTTATTTTCAGTATTTTTTATGTTAATAGTAAACGTAGTTTTTGTCAACTTACAGAGAATGTTGATATAATAAATTGTAAGTATCTTCAGGAGTCTTTATCACTTGGTTTTCAATTACACTGTTTCAAAGAATGTCAAAAGCTTTTAAAACGCTGACTTACAAGCTAATCATTTTTCAATATTTATCCAAAAATGTTGTGTGTGTATAGAGTACAACTATATGGTAATGCCTTTAAAACAGATGCGTCACACAGATTTTAGTCAACTTTAAGCAAATGAGCACAACTGTTCATGACATAAAGTCAGCCTGAGCCCAAGGAGGAGAAAAAGATTCATTCAGAAGAGGTTTGTAAGTAAGGAATTTCTGGGACAAAAATCAGGGATGAGGATGGGTGGAGGGAGTTCTGACACAAAAGAAAAGAAGGATACAAAATGTCATTTATATTACAATTTCTACTGTGGAAAAATTCGTTGAAAGTTAAAAATAAGAGCCAAGTCTCTAAAATGATTTTTTTTGTATGATACTAGAGATTTAACTTCTCTATGTAGTATTTTTCTCATTTTACAGAAATTAATATTCCAGTCACCTGAATAGGTGGAAATTTTAATTAACACAGGCTTTTAAATATGTAGAATTCTATTTAAAAAATTGTATTTAACCTAAATATTCGGCAAACTTGGAAAGGTAGGAAGGAGGGAGGGAGGAAGAAAACAAAGTCCTATCTTGTCTTTGTCCACAGCAACTGCTCTAGTTAATTTTAATTTACTGCCCACAATGTCACTGAGCAGATGGCCAATCTCCCCCACAGTTTTCACTAAAGAGCCTCAGGGTTGAACGAGAGGAAGCCCACTCTGCAAAGTGACATTTTTGAAGGAAACTTTCTTACACCTCCTTATTTCAAGGGGGATGCCACAAGGTTCCATCTCTTTGTAGCAAGTCTATTTTTAAAATCACTGCTGTTGATGTTATATCGTGGGTGATGGAAGTATCACACAGGGGGGCGGGGGGTCAATGATATTTACAATCACAACTAAACTCCTTTCCAGTAGAAATGGGCATTGCCGGTGGGGTGAGGGGTAGAAATTATACAGTTTCTGCAAACACATAAAGTCACTGAGTGACTTCTTGTTAATAAATACTTGTTTCTGATACTCCTTTAAAAATTAAAATTGACAAACAATACTTATGTTTCTGTGTCTAGGTAGAGTGAGGAGTTGAAAGTTACTATACTAGAAACAGCTTATTCTCAAGGTGATGTGCCCTGTGCACCCCTGTAGCCATGAAATCTCCTTCTGGGACACCGGTAAACACCATCTGGAGGATTCAGCATTAGATGGTCCCAACTGCACACGTTAAAAACTAGCCTGTCTATTGTTTTTAAGAGTCAAGCTCTTAATCTGTACACCATGGCACAAGAACTGCTGTTTCTAACCTACGATAGCTTAGAACATGATGCTATGAAGAACTGTTTGCCACTTAAAAGAAAAGTAGATTTAATGGCCAATTAAGCAAGGTTTCATTGACAAACTAGAGAGTAGCTACTGTGGGTCACCCTGCCAAAGGCTCCTTCCTGCACTTACCCATCAATCCAGCAAACTGAGCATCTACTATGTACTCATCAGGCAGTGTGGACAACACAGCAGTAAGAAGGAAAACCTCCAGCTCTCAAATGAGAATTACTGTGACCATTCGGTAGTCAACCAGCTATATGGTTTCTTTACTTTCTAATACATAATTTTTATATTAATATTTTATATTTAATGAGTAATAATCCATTATATATTAAAATTATATTTAATGAGTAAAAATCAGACATTACTGAGTTACCAAGTATTTAAACAGAATAAACATGATAAAAAGTGACAAACTTAAGAGTCAAAATTCAGAATGGCCTTTCCCCAAGTAGTCCCAAACAAAGGATGCCTAGTACAGGAACAACTGCTACCCAATCCCATACTACGGGAGACAGAAGATGAATACACTGGCCAGGGCACTGTGACACACCAGAAACCGTCTTAATGGGCTAGTCCATATTAGTGCTAGTACCCAGGGAGTGTATTTCTTAACAAATACCAAGACACATGCCTTGACTCTACCACATATAGTATTATCAAAATCCACTGACATGCCAAGCTGACTGTAAGAATGTTAAGCATTTATTTTTCAACTAAGGGTTTCATTCCTATTTCTATTTTACAGTTTCTAAGTGTCATGTCCACCAACGAGCTATAAGATGACCACTCCTCAGAGTCAAACGCAACCTGACCTTCCTATTGACCCACATCCAGATGAATACAAGATTGCAGCCCTCGTCTTCTACAGCTGCATCTTCATCATTGGATTATTTGTTAATGTCACTGCCTTATGGGTTTTCAGTTGTACCACCAAGAAGAGAACCACTGTGACCATCTATATGATGAATGTGGCACTACTGGACTTGATATTTATAATGAGCCTACCCTTTCGGATGTTTTATTATGCAAAAGGTGAATGGCCTTTTGGAGAGTACTTTTGCCAGATTCTTGGGGCTCTCACAGTCTTTTACCCAAGTATTGCTCTGTGGCTTCTTGCTTTTATTAGTGCCGACAGATACATGGCCATCGTACAGCCAAAATATGCCAAGGAACTCAAAAACACGTGCAAGGCCGTGATGGCATGTGTGGGCGTCTGGATAATGACCCTGACCACCACCATCCCCCTCCTGCTGCTCTATGAAGATCCAGACACAGCCTCCTCCACCCCCGCCACCTGCCTCAAGATTTCTGACATCATTTACTTAAAAGCTATTAACGCGCTGAACTTCACTCGACTGGTATTTTTTTTCCTGATTCCTCTGTTCATCATGATTGGGTGCTACTTGGTCATTATCCATAGTCTTCTTCACGGTAAGACCTCTAAGCTGAAGCCAAAGGTCAAAGAGAAGTCGATCCGGATTATCATCACGCTGATGGTGCAGGTGCTGGTCTGCTTCATGCCCTTCCACATCTGCTTTGCTTTCCTGATGCTGGGAGGGGATGAGAACAGCTACAACCCCTGGGGAGCCTTCACCACCTTCCTCATGAACCTCAGCACTTGTCTGGACGTGATTCTCTACTACATCGTTTCGAAACAATTTCAGGCTCGAGTCATTAGCGTCATGCTCTACCGTAATTACCTTCGGAGCGTACGCAGAAAGAGCTTCCGCTCAGGTAGCTTACGGTCACTAAGCAACGTAAACAGTGAAATGCTATGAATCCTCACTGTTGGCCTTCAAGATCTTCAAATACACTTAACTATCTTAGGGTGAGTGGATATTCTCTAGGATATCAACAAGTCCCTTCTCTCCTGAATAAAATAATCTTTAAAAACCCTTCCTCTTTTGTGGAATCTTATTATTGTGGTAGCATAATTAAATATACTGAAACATTCTAATTCATTATTTTTATTTTAAAAACTTACATAAAACACTTGCATGAATGACTGGGAGAAAAGCATCCAATTCATGTTTCAGATTCAAGCCTTATCTAAATACATCATTGACTGTTTGGATTTAACCCTATGTGCAAGTGAGAATTACCTGATCTCAAATAATTGAGCTACTGTTTAAAATAATTTGAATTATTTTCCAACTAGATGCATCTCCCTTTGGTTTGATTTATGCTCAGAAATGGTGGTCTAAATCCAGTCCTTTGTGTTCTAAACATAAAACTTCTGGGATTCCTATACAAACAACTATATTCAACTCATCACTGTTACTGCTGTAAAGCAAACACCCGAGGGGTGATAAAGGTCATTGCCTTCAGCCCTCCCCTCCACAGAATTCATTTTCCTTTGGAAACAGACCACAGCCACTCAATAAACACTGAGAGCCTAGTATGCGCCAGACTCTACTTCAGACTAGTGGGGGAAACCGAACCTGACACCCTATTTCTGCCCAATAATCTAAGTTCATTCCCATGACATGAGGTTTCTGCTATATGGTGAAATACATTTATTGTTCAGTTGCTAAATCATGTCCTACTCTTTGTGACCCCATAGACTGCAACACACCAGGCTCCTCTGTCCTCCATTATCTCCTGGAGTTTGCTCAATTCATGTCCGTTGAGTCAGTGATGCTATTCTAACCATCTCATCCTCAGATACCCCCTTTTCCTTTTGCCCTCAATCTTTCCTAGCATCAGGGTCTTTTCCAATGAGTGGGCTCTCCATATCAGGTGGCCAAAGTATTGCAGCTTCAGCATCAGTCGTTCTGATGAGTATTCAGGGTTGATTTCCTTTAGGATTGACTGTTTTACTAGTCAGAGACTTTGGATTCATATCCAAGCCTTATCATTTAATTTCTCCTAACAAAGTAACCAAGTGACTTCTCCATTTAAAAAGGAAAGGAAGTGAACTATAATCTGTAAACATATTACTCTAAATATTATGAAAGCACATAAATGAGTCAACAGTAACTTCCTCTTTGCTGAATAGCCAGCATGATCATCTCCTAATGGGACTAAGAATCAAATAAATACACTGGCTATAAATATATTTCTATAACATGGGCAAATAAATATTAAAGGAAAAAAAAAAGAGAAACACAAAGGAACCCAATCATAAAACAGCATTTTCATACTAGAAGATCTCTTAGATGGTCTTCCAGTCTAGTCCTTCTGCTTTCAATATAAAGAAAATGAGGTCCACAGAGGTTATGTGACTTGCTCAGCTAAAGCACCAGCATTAGAAACCAGGTTTAGCTCTCCTTTCATGTCAACCACCAATTTTTCAATAGTAAAAAGCAAACGAGCTCACAAAATGTAAACATTCTCATAGCTACACAACGAAAAGGAGTCAAGATGATACCGAGATGCAGTTCCTCAACAAGAGAAAACCACTTGAATGTGTTAGCTTTATTAGGCAAGCAAGCAAGATACTTAAATATCATTAAGTGAATATTGCTAAAACAAGAGAAATCTCCATTTGATATGTGCTATGCAGTCACAGCCTACTCTCACCTACATAGATTAACCTGCTCTCACATAATTTATTAAACGACAACTTCTCTGCAATGACTTTTCTTGACGAGAACAATTTGAGAGCACATGACACAACTAAAGGCTTTATCAACACAAAGTCAAAAAAGTGAAAATGTATGTCACGGTTCTCACAATAAAACACAGATACTCTAAAACAATTAAAAATAATTTTATTCAGCATTATAATCAGATACACTTTAATATGATACGTAAAACTTAAAATTCTACTTATTCTGGAGTGATTTGATTCTGGGAAACTATATATAACATCCACATATAAATACTAACAATAAAAAAATAATAGGTAGGTAAGGACAAGTGTGTGATAAGCATGGGTTATTGGAAGAAACTAATACATATAGCTACTTTCAAAACCTAATGATTGCGTTTTCTGAATATTAAGTCAGTCACGAGAATCTATTACATGCCAGGTATAATTTCTTTGTAAAGCACCAGAAAAAGAGATGAACATGTCCGTGATTAAAAGACCTCACCTTACAGTCTTAAGGGGCTACACTATAACCAAGGCTACCCCTTCAACATTACTGAGGGTGAGACAGAGAGTAAGTAACGGAAAGCTGGTCTGCCCTCAGTGGGCGAGGATGGTGGGACAGGAGGCCCAGATAATGACAAGGATGACGCGAAGCAATCAGCACTAATAGGCATTTTAATACATGTGTTGGACTATATAGCAAAGGACAAATAATCCTGCCAAAGGATAACAGGGTGCAGAGAGAAAACCAAGCAGATACAAGAATACAAATACATAGCAGGTCAAGAATGACTAATGGGAAAGCTGAATGACGAATGGGAAACTCTGGATTGGGGTCAGATTATAAGGGCTTTGAAGGAAAACAGAAAAAGAAAAACAAAAAACTATATATACACACACACACATGGTGGGATGGGGAAGTTACTACTGCTAGGATGTTTGCATAGGTTAGTTAACTCCCTGTCCAGTACAGAGTATGACCCCCCAGTTTACACATGAGGATCTTCTACAAACCGAGCTCCGGAAACAGAACCTGAGAAGTGACTGGCTCAAGATGACACACACGTACCACACGGCAGAGCGAGGAAACCCCAACTGTGTCTGGTTCCCCTGATGGCAAAGCCTACGCCATTCACACCATTCCAGCCAGGCTTGAGGCCATCTTGGAGTCTGATTTTTATTCTGAAGAAAATAAGGATCTAAAGGTTTTTAAAAGGAAGATTAGTATAGTCAAACTTCTATTTTAGAAAGACAACTTCTGAAAACACTGCATGAAATGCTTTGCAGGTGATAGGAAAACTAGTTAGAGAACTATTATAAAAATCTAGGCAAGAAAAGTTAAAGATTAGTTAAGACTGAGATAATGACAATACATAATGAAGGGATAACTTATATAGCAATTTAAACAAATAAGGCTCAGTGACCTACTTCAACAACGAGAAAAGGGAAAGAGTTCCAGCTTGGATGACTATGTAGATGGAAATGCCTTTAATTAAAATAGAGTACAGAAGGAGGAGGAGATGAGAGCACAGAAAGAGAGGTGACCAGAGGAGGTGAGAGGTTCTAAACATGACAAATTTTCTCTGAGCCTTAGAAGTCATTAGGAAATACGAGTAAAGATCAGGAAAGTAATATGAACTGGAAATAGAGAACTGGGACACAACAGATGTTAAAGATAGCTGAAGTCATGAGAGTGGACAAGATGGCACAGAGAAAGCTTTTGGCGTTAAGTTTGAGAAAGCAACTGCAAAGAGTAATAAATAAGGTCAAAAAGGACCAGGAGACAGTACTGTACTAGGACTCAGGAGAGCAGGTTATTTCATGAAATAATGGGATGCCAAAAGCAAATAGTTTGCGACTGAAAGGTCAAATAAGACAAGTGAAAATAAGCCATTGGCTTCAGAAATCAGTTGGCCACTGCTGACCTTTATAGTTTTAATAGTGGTGAGGTTAAAAAGAGAGAGACACAAATAAGAAGTGAAGAACTGTTGGGAGTGCAGATAAATTTGGCACTGATGAGAATGAAAAAGACATTATATGGAAAATACGGCACATAATGCACATAAAGCACATTGGCCAAAAAGTTTCCTGAGTTTTTGAAGCTTTGCCACCATCAAATAAAAGATATATTTATAAAATGCAAAGTTTACTTATTGAAGTAAAGATTTATATTCCAAGAAGTCTATGTTTGAGAATACTTCAAGATTCAAATAAGCCATACAATAACAGAAAGGGAAACATGGTTTCATTTAGGTAATGTCTGAATTGACATTCACAGTCTTCCAAAGGGGATCCTATAACTTTTGAATTTACCCAAATTTGAAATTCTTGCTATCAGTTAAGATATAAATAGGCAAATGTCTTCTGGCCTTAAGAATTGGTTAAAAAAAAAAATTACCACCAACTTCAAAATTGAATCAATATTCCTTATATGTATCAGTTAGGATCCCATAAAGAAATGTCATTCATTACAAAGAAATAACTGTCACTCCACTCTATGTACAGTAGAAAAAAAAGTCCTCACAAGAAGACAATGTAAATAATAATCAAAAGCTATGTTACTACCCACTCCCTAAATTTACTCTAACACAAACATACATGATATGCATAACCTTTCCACAACTCAGTAGGTCTTATAAAGAACCAAAAGAATTGGTCTCAATGAGAAATGTGTGGGAAAAACTAAAGATTCAGTAATGCTACTTCTTTTCTGAATCAATACAGGATCATTCCTTATTGACTATACCATCTTCCACAACAGCAGAATAGTTAAACTTCTTAATCTAACTGCAATCACAAACCATGAAGCTCAAAAACTGCATAATTATGACACAGAACTTTATCTGTCTCCACTAAAAGACTATTCAGAATTAAACATTCATAAGACAACTAAAGATCGACACTCATGCCAATAATTCAGTAATTCACCACAACTGTTAAGTATTAACGACTTTAAGTGTGAGAGCTATTAGATCATTAGCCAAATTTTAAAACTACAGATCCAAAGTGAAGCTGGATCAAGATACTTGCATAGCCTAATAGTTCTCAAAAACACATACTGAAAATTAAAATAAGGCTTAAGTTAGTACACATGAATTTTGAATATATGGTGTCTTTACTTCACAGTATCTCATCTCTTAAATACAGTCTCAGAAACTTTATTCAGAGATGTTTTAATATCATTTGTATGTGTTAACAACTCTGCTCCTTCCTGCTGGTTATTACACAAACTAATACATGTTTTTTCATTTTGTTTTTAAAGAAGACCAACACAATACAAAAGCACAAACACTCTGCAACATAGGTTGCCCATTGCAGATTGGTCACAAAGTCATAACCAATATATTGATTTTCTTTTATATT